TTTAACTAACGATCAACTTCTGTCAATAAGGGAAATGCAACTAGGACACATGTATCGGCACACCTCTATCCTAAGATCAATGACAGTGATAGCAAAACTCTGAGTGGGGTGCAGCGGTACATCATGTTCGATTTGTCTGACAGAAGAATATTAATCCTAGAGCTAATCATTTGCCTGCTTATCTCTTCCGTTTATCAGAGCTAAACAAGCAAAACGACACAGTTATGTTCAACAAAAGCAATGAGATACATCAAAACAGTGTACAATGGGGTGTGCGTTTGTGTTTGTGTGCGTGGGTGTGAGCAGCAGTGAGTTTTCGAATTATTAAAGAGTTTTACAATGCTCAATAATTGAGCATTATCGGTTCAAATACAAGTGCATTAGTGATTCATTCGTGTGCATTGACCTACCGGTGAAAAAGTCATAATCCACCGTTTTCTCGTGGAAAGCGAACAATGCCTGAAATAGTAGCAAATCGATTATTCTAATCAGAAATTGTTAAGAGTACCAAATCAGACAGATATAATTTCCAAACTTTTTTCTTTTTCATTTTTACTTCCTTCTATTGAATACACAAGGATACAAAATTCAGTAGAGAGGAGTCGGTCAATTAATTGTTGTCATACAATACACAAACAGAGGAAGTCAAATTTTCATCATTCCAACCACATGTTTATAGTTTATCGTTCAGAATCAAAATCAAATATATTCTCATTTGGCGAACCCTTCGAGTTTGAATAATCTACTTTCCATGACATATAACAAATGCAATTATGCTCAGTTACAAAAACTATGCGTTTATTTTACCAATCTTTGAGATATATTCTTAGAAACATTGCTTCTTTTCATATATTTTGTTGATGGGCAACAACAAAGTTTAAGACCAAACTTCGGTGATAACATCTGGCATCATAAACTGGCACTACGCTGCCAGCCGCGGCTAGGATACCTATTTCGCGTCCTTGTCTACCGCCTAGGTACTACTGACTGAGCTCCAAGTTCGGAACGATGGAATAACAAATGCAGTTGGCTTAGTTGAAACCATGAATGAGATTTTTCTTAACATTTATAGATAGGCTCATGGGTAAACACAATTACAAAACCCCTTCCTCCACTATTTTTTTCATTTCTTATTGAAACACTTCTTTCGCTGCGCAGAGCTGTGAGCCACCCAATACGTTCCAGGTTACAGACATAAGTTCGCCCGTCACATGAATATTTATGGTCAGGCCTCAGTATATGAGCGTATGCGGATCATCGACGGAGCTACTCATGAAAGCAGCGGGGTTCGATCGAGAATATGCTTTCCACCATAAAACATCCCATGCGGTAATTTGGCCCCATATTAATTAAGGTTGCTGCTCCTGGTGTGCTACACCCATTTAATAAGATGATTCCTCAGAGAACAATGAATAGCACAATGAGTGACCTCGAAAGCAGTATGTGAGCTTTTGGGAGTAACCATAAGCCATGAGGAGTTGGTACCTTACCCGGATTGTATGCCAGTATTGGCGAGCTTGAGGAAGCGTTGGCTTCACTGATCTTCGGTCTGCTATGTCTGCTATTCAGTAGCAAGCTCCAATCAGGGAAAACGTAATTTCTGGTAAATCAGGGCAGTTTAAGTCCACCCTACTCCGGACTGGATAACAGCGGAGTAATCGAGTTCCGAACGGCGCTGCGCACATCGCCCTAGGACCTGTTCCCAAGAAAGTCTACATATGCAATGTCTGTGGATCCGGCTTATATCTCATCAGACAATACTCGCGTAAAATTAAAATAATCATCCCACTTTGAGGATTATATCTATACAGTAATCGACAAGCGTTGAACGGCAAGTGTTTTATTTTGCATCAATAAAAATGGATTTTAAACTTTTTTAAAGCATTTCAACCAAGCTAGTTCTCAACAAACCCAATGTCAAATGTGTTAGAAATGACGAGGAATTTCCTAATGTGAAAGTATCGCATGGAAAAAAATAAACTAGCAAGTATGCATATTTCAAAACGTTCTCACGACCTTACGTTGCGGGATCAGGTCACACTTACCCTACAATGGAGTTTCAACGGTTTATGCTCTGAGGTAAAAGTAACCACTTTGATCATGTCAACCTCATCCCCGATCGAATCGTTCCATTGAGCCAAACTGAAATTTCTTCCCATCTGAATCTCAGCCTTGATCAAATACGCGTGTATCGCGCTCTCCACTTCCGGATCTTCAAATGCAGGTTTCTGGTAGAGCAAGCATGTGAAATTTGTGAAACGTAAGGAATATTTTCTGATCAAGGAACGAAATGTTTGGTTAGAAAAAGTGGGAGATTTGATGGAACTCTATCTTTATACGATGGTCAGCATGAAAAAACACAAATGCATAGAGAGCAAGGAGCATCTGTTCAAAAGATATTTTAAAGGACGAACTTACACTAGTGAGAAGAATTTTACTGGAAAATGGCTATCCTGTGTCAAGCTCGATCGTTGCTCATGTGGTAGAGACAGGACAATTGGTTAACACGCGCTCGACATTTACAATCATTTATCGAGTCTCACCACCCCCCTCGAGAGCAATACGGTCTCGGACATTGGCAACTGCAGAGGCGATTAGCAACCGACTCATAAAGACTGAGCTGTGCGAACAACGAAAATTGGTTCAAGCTCTCAAAATCCCCTGGCCAGAGGAGGAGAAAATCACTTGTCCTTATGATCATGACGTAATATAGAGACTTTGGTTGAGCGATCCAAATAGCGCACAAATTTGGAGTTCTCTTGGGTTCATTGTAAACACATAACTCATCCACTTTTGCTGTTTAACCCTTTTCAAATTTTTTCATACAAATATAATTGTAAAGTTTGTGATAACCAACAAAGAGCACTGGACAGCTGGTTCGTCTTGTTTGGGACTCGTCAGCAGTGCGTACCTATTGTGTCCCTGNCAGGACTCGAACCGCGATCAGTCGGGTCGGGACTTCAAACCCTTATCCCTGAGCAACACGGTCGACGGTTATCACCTTGTGGCTCAAGCAATCTAGAGTATCAAGCTTTGATTAACCTATTCAATTGGGCAGATGTACCAGGCACCAAATAGATTGAGCC